CTCCCAAAGTGCTGGGATTACAGGCGTGAGCCACCGCGCCCGGCCCCTGATCTGTTTATTTCTTTTCAGCTGTGGTAAAATCAAGTCTAAATCAGGACATGTAAATTTATGAAATAGGTCATATATTTGATTCAAAAGTTAGATTTACCCACTTAGCTGACCTATTTAACCTCTCAAGAGCTTTTGACATCATTAATTGGTACTCTTTCCTTGAAGCATTCTTTTTTGTAGATGTCTTGGTTTTTTTTTTTTTTTTTGAGATGGAGTCTCGCTCTGTTACCCAGGCTTAAGTGCAGTGGTGGAATCTCGGCTCACTGCAACCTCCGCCTTCCAGGTTCCAGTGATTCTCCCGCCTCAGCCTCCTGAGTAGCTGGGACTACAGGCATGCACCACCACACCCAGCTAATTTTTGTATTTTCTAGTAGAGATGGGGTTTCACCATATTGGCCAGGCTGGTCTCGAACTCCCGACCTCAGGTGATTCTCCTGCCTTGCCCTCCCAAGGTGTTGGGATTACAGGCATGAGCCACTCTGCCCAGCCTGTTTTATTCTTTTTAATGGATGGAGTCTCTCTGTGTTGCCCAGACTGGCCTCAAACTCCTGGGTTCAAGCAATCCTCCCACTTTAGCCTCCGAAACAGCCAGCCTGGTCTGCCCTCCCATGTTTCTGTCACAGCCTCTCCCTAAGTGACTTCCATGGCTTAAAATATCATTCATATCTGTTGGAGATCTTGGGGCTAAAGTAGTTGTAAAAACTATATAGGCCGGGTATGGTGGCTCGCACCTATAATCTCAGCACTCTGGGAGGCTGAGGTTGGTGGAACACTGGAGCCCTGGAGTTCAAGACTAGCCTGAGCAACATGGCAAAACTGTGTCTCTGCAAAAAATGCAAAAAAGTAGCCAAGTGTGGTGGCAGGTACCTGTGGTCCCAGCTACTCCAGAGGCTGAGGTGGGAGGATTGATTGAGCCCAGGAGGTTGAGGCTGCAGACGGTGGAGATCATGCCACTGCATTCCAGCCTGGGTGACAGAGTGAGACCCTTTCTTAAAAAACAACAACAAAAAAACTATATAAACAAAAAATGAGGTGATTATTCTAGGTAAATCAGAAGGCTGATTTACATGGCTTAACTGTGGCTAATATTTAGGTAGTGATATTGCAGATTCTGAATATTGATTTAATCCAAAATTATAATACTGCTTACTGGATTGAGAGGCTGCAAGAAAGAAGACATAAATGAGTATGTATGGCCAGGTGCGGTGGCTCACACCCATTATCCCAGCACTTTGGGAGGCCAAGGCAGGTGGATCACGAGGTCAGGCATTCAACACCACCTTGGCTAACATGGTGAAACCCTGCTTCTACTAAAAATGCAAAAAATTAGCCAGGCCCGATGGCAGATACCTGTAATCCCTGCTACTCGGGAGGCTGAGGCAGGAGAATCGCTTGAGCCCAGGAGGCAGAAGTTGCGGTGAGCCGAGATCGCACCATTGCACTCCAGCCTGGGTAACAAGAGCGAAACTCCATCTCAAAAAAAAAAAATGAATGTTTCTCATGGTGAGAGTTGTCTGTTTTAATCGTCACTTGATTATTGAATGATTTTGTCTTATCTTCAAATGCCGTTTAAGTTGATCACTTATATTCAATTATCTTACTCTAACAAATTAGGATTCTTCTTATTTATTTATTTTTTTTGAAATAGAGTCTTGTTCTGTTGCCCAGGCTGCAACCTCTGCCTCCTAGGTTCAAGCGATTCTCCTGCCTCAGCCTCCTGAGTAGCTGGGATTACAGGCATGCGCCACCATGCCCGGCTAATTTTTGTAGAGATGGGGTTTCACCATATTGGTCAGACTGGTCTTGAACTCCTGACCTCATGATCCGCCTGCCTCAGCCTCCCAAAGTGCTGGGATTACAGGCATGAGCCACCGCGCCCAGCCTACAAATCCTTCTTAAATAAAGCAATGATGGCCTTTTTTAAAACTTATGAGTTGTGAAAGTTTATAACATTTTAAATTTATTTCAAGAGTAGAAGTTACAAAAATGATTTATGGAAAAAATATTGTTTGCCAATATTGCCCTAGCTTCTGACATCTAAGAAAAGGTAACAAATACAATATGCTTTACTAAAAACTAATAGGTACTCGTTTGTAAAGACACTAATGAGTATTGGTGAATATGTGTAACCCACTTATATCTTGATTATTTGCAGGACTATTTCAAGCCTAGAAGAAATTGTTGAAAAGCAAGGAGACATCATTGAATACCTGAAGCGCCACAATGCCCTGCTGAGTAAGCGATTGTTGGCTCTCACTTCCTCGGACCTGGGCTGTCAGCCAAGTAGAACATGAGAGGCTCGCCCTCATGACAGCAATTGCAGAGAAACCCAGAGTAATTCAAACTGACTGACTACCCGACAAGCTGCCACAGGGAACTGCAGCATTTGCTGAATAGCATTTTACAGTGTTTGTTGGAAACCTGAATTTGGTTCTGACTTCTGTGGCTGTTTAAAATATAGGGCTTGACTGGGCATGGTGGCTGATGCCTGTAATCTCAGCACGTTGGGAGGCCAAGGCAGGTGGATCACCTGAGGTCGAGAGTTTGAGACCAACCTGACCAGCATGGAAAACCCTATCTCTACTAAAAATACAAAATTAGCTGGGCATGGTGGCACATGCCTGTAGTCCCAGCTACTCAGGAGGCTGAGGCAGGAGAATTGCTTGAAGCTGGGAGGCAGAGGTTGCGGTGAGCCAAGATTGTGCCACTGCACTCCAGCTGGGCAACAGGAGCGAAACTCCATCTCAAAATAAATAAATTAATTAAATTAAATATAGGGCTGTGGGTCACTTGAAAAGGGCCTATAGAATCCCTGATAACTTGAGGAGAATGTCTGTTTTATACTTCTTGAACTGATTTAACTGCTTGGTTTATCCTAGGATCAGAGGCTAAACAACTCCATGGTCAACATTTTTCCACCTGACACTGAACCCTGTAATGATTTGGTTATGAATAAGGGAAGCCTAACAAGACAATCTATTTTAAACAGGGTTTTAATCAAATAAGTTCTTCTCACTTTTAAGTTGATGAAAGAAGTCATTATTGCTTGTAAATGTTTTTCCTGAAGAGCGTTATCATGTATTTTATACACTTACGTGGTGTTGAATGACATCATGGGCCATGTAGCTTTCATAGAGAATTTTCTCACCATAGGACTGAGGTCTCAAACTATGCAAACTCCTACAGCTTTCTATTCTCAAGAAATAAGATAGGCATGTAGTGCTCCCCTCCCTGTGTTCTCGTTGTTCAAGTTGGGGGGAAATAGGGGAGGGACCGTGGGGGGTGGGGAGCTGGGGAGGGATAGCAAGGGGAGAGATGCCAGATGTAGGTGATGGGGAGGAAGACAGCAAATCACACTGCCACGTGTGTACCTATGCAACAATCTTGCATGTTCTTCACATGTACCCCAAAACCTAAAATGCAATAAAATAAATAAATGGGGGGAAAAAAAAAGATAGGCATGGACAACATGGTGAAACCCCATCTCTGCTAAAAATACAAAAAAATTAGCTGGGCATGGTGGTGCATGCCTATAGTCCCAGCTACTTGGGAAGCTGAGTCAGGAGAATTGCTTGAACCTGGGAGGCAGAAGTTTGCAGTGAGCCAAGATCATGCCACTGTACTACTCCAGCCTGGTGACAGAGTGAGACTCCATCTCAAAAAAAAAAAAAGGGAAATAAGTTATGATAATTATTTGGACCAGTGTTACATAAACCTGTGTTGCCTGTTATATTGGCAGCACATTTCATTAGCAATAGCTGCAAAATTCAGAGAAGAATTTAGAACTTCCACTTTATTTTTGTCATTCTTCAAGAAGTTGCCATATATTTCAGTCTGGTTATACCTTCATTGGATCAATAACTTCAGTTATAGGAAAGACATCTGTGATTTTAAATTACTGTAAAAAGAAAAAAGATACCTTTTAAAGTCTTGGATTATACTTAAAAATTATAATGGGGATAAAATGCATATTAACTTATGCAGATATTAAAAATCTGATTCTCAAGATAAAAATGAAGTATTTTTCAGAGCAAATGGCATTATTTCTCCATTTTTCCTAGTATGCTCCTTTAATTTGTCAATTTGCTATTAGCATTGTTATATGCTGCCTTAGAAAGATTTTTGGTTGAAGGCTGAATATGAGGGGAGGGGATATTTGTGACTGTTAATCTTTTTTGATCATTAGCTGAATATTCAATATTGATACATAACTATATAGGGATATATTTGATATAACTATATAGGCAAGAGATACATTGATTTGGCCACGTCCATTTGATTTATGGAGCACAAATACCTGTTTCCTTTAGATATAGCCATTGCTGGGGCATCCTAAGTTTTCCAGTAAGATAAAGATGATTGTGTATGGCTGGGAAGAGTTGCTTATGCCTGTAATCCCAGTACTTTGGGAGGCTGAGACAGGAGGATCACTCAAGCCCAGGAGTTTGAGACCAGCCTGGGCAAAATAGTGAAACACCATCTCTTAAAAAAAACAAAACAAAAAGATTGTGTGTCACCTGCATACAACATTCACAAACATAAAGCCAAATTGTATTTTTTTTTTTTTTTTTGAGACGGAGTTTCGCTCTTGTTACCCAGGCTGGAGTGCAATGGCGCCATCTCGGCTCACCGCAACCTCCGCCTCCTGGGTTCAGGCAATTCTCCTGCCTCAGCCTCCTGAGTAGCTGGGACTACAGGCACGCGCCACCATGCCCAGCTGATTTTTTGTATTTTAAGTAGAGACGGGGTTTCACCATGTTGACCAGGATGGTCTCGATCTCTTGACCTCGTGATCCACCCGCCTCGGCCTCCCAAAGTGCTGGGATTACAGGCGTGAGCCACCGCGCCCGGCCTGCCAAATTGTATTTTTAAAATTCAGATTGTGTTAAAGGTCGCTGCCTTCTTTCTCCCTTCCCATTTTTTTTTTTTTTTTAGATGGAGTCTCTCTCTGTTGCCCAGCCTAGAGTGCAGTGGCACTCTCTTGGCTCACTGCAACTTCCACCTCCCAGAGTCAAGTGATTCTCCTACCTCAGCCTCCCAAGTAGCTGGGATTACAAGCATACACCACTATGCACATCTAATTTTTATACTTTTAGTACAGATGGGGTTTCACCATGCTGGCCAGGCTGGTCTCAAACTCCTGACCTTCTGATCCGCCCTCCTTGATCTCCCAGAGTGCTGAGATTACAGGCGTGAGCCCCTGCGCCCGGCCTTCCTGTCTTTTTAATAAGTATGTTTCAAAGCCGTTGCCTTCTCTAGAAATCTTTTTCTCTTGTTCTGGAGGAAGAGCCTATAAACTTTGGTTTCAGTTTCTTTTTTTTTTTTTTTTTTTTTTTTTTCCAAAAAGGTACAGCAGTGTTAGATGATAACTCTTATTTATTTTTAAAATTTAATTTGGATCTATAGTCAGTTTCTGAGATTTATGGGATAAACTTTGGTTTACAAGAAATGGTGTAGTTAAAAAGTTAGGGTGCCCAGGTTCTCATGTAATATTTGTATAATCATCAACATTTTTCTGAATCCAATAATGAACACTTTAAACAATAAATGAAAATGAAACTAAGTATCAGAAGTAGCAAAACGGCCAGGTGTGGTGGCTCATGCCTATAATCCCAGCACTTTGGGAGGCTGAGGAGGGTGGATCACCTGAGGTTGGGAGCTCGAAACCAGCCTGGCCAACATGGTAAAACCCCATCTCTGCTATACAAAGTCAGCCAGGTTTGGTGGTGCACATCTGTAAACCCAACTATTTGGGAGGCTGAGGCAGGAGAATAGAATCCCTTGAACCCGGGAGGCGGAGGTTGCAATTAGCTGAAATTGTGCCACTGCATTTCCAGACTGGGTAACAGAGCTAGACTCTGTCTCAAAAAAAAGAAAAAAGAAAAAAAAGAAGTAACAAAACAGAAAAATGAAAAAACAATTTTTAAAAGTTTATTATACTTTAAGCTCTGGGGTGCATGTGCAGATCAGGTATACACGTACCCTGGTGGTGGTTTGCTGCATCCGTTGCCCCATCATCTATATTAGATATTTCTCCTAATCCCATCCCTCCCCAATCTCCCCACCCCCTGCTATCCCTCCTTTAGCCCCCATCCCCCAGACCCTGATGTCTGATGTTCCCCTACCTGTGTCCGTGTGTTCTCATTGTTCAACATCCACTTATGAGTGAGAACATGTGGTGTTTGGTTTTCTGTTCTTCTGGATCCCTTCCTTACACCTTATACAAAAATTAACTCTAGATGGATTAAAGATTTAAACATGAGGGCTAACACTATAAAAACTCTAGAAGAAAACCTAGGTGGTACCATTCAGGAAATAAGCATGGGCAAGGACTTCATGACTAAAACACTGAAAGCAATGGCAACAAAAGCCAAAATAGACAAATGGGATCTAATTAAATTTAAGAGCTTCTGCAAAGCAAAAGAAACTATCAATAGAGTGAACCGGCAACCAACAGAATGGGAAAAAATTTTTGCAATCTACCCATCTGACAAAGGGCTAATATCCAGAATCTATGGAGAACTTAAATTCACAAGAAGAAAACAACCTCATCAAAAAGTGGGCGAAGGATATGAATAGACACTTTTCATTTTTTTTTATGAAGACAGGGTTTCACCATGTTGGTCAGGCTGGTCTTGAACTCCCGACCTCAGGTGATCCGCCCGCCTTGGCCTCCAAAGTGCTTGGATTACAGGTGTGAGCCACCACTCCCGGCTGAACAGACACTTTTCAAAAGAAGACATTTATGCAGCCAACAAACATGAAAAAATGCTCATCATCACTTGTCATTAGAGAAAAATAATTTAAATGTTAAACATTCTATTCACCAGGCTGGTAATTGTGCCAGTACTGTGGATACAAAAATAAAAGACTCTGGTTGGTAGCTTACATTCTAAAGAGACCGAGGAATAGATTTCCAGACTTTGTGCTAAGTGCAATAAGGACAGTAGGCCCAATGTGCTGTGCCAGATCCACATCAGGGGACACCCTGGAGGCGGGAGGGTAGAGGGTGTAGGAATGCTAGGCAAAACAATGAGTAAAGTAGCAAGGCAAATAGCTACAAAATATCACAAGCACTGTGTGTAGCTGGAACCAAAAGTGTGAGGCAGGACCTGGGTGGAGGGGTGGACAGGGTCAGAGCTTGGAGGGCCTTGATACTATGCTGGAGACCGGCACTTTATCTTGTTGATAATGGGATCCTCTGAAGCATTTGAAGCAGGAAGTGACGTCAGTTTTAGTTTCAGGAGTGTCAGACCGTAGTTCAATATGGACAAAATATAAATGGCAGAAAGATACGACCCTGAACTAGGGTAGGTAGGTATAGTAAACCTTTTTTTTTTTTTTTTTTTTTTTTTTTTG